ATAAACTTAGGATTGTTATTGTTATCAATACCTTAATTTATTTCATGATCATAATATTACCATCATCATTATTAAATCATAGCTATAGCGATTAGTGAGCACATATATGATTGAGAATGTTATGTCATTAAGAAATAGATATCAAAGAATCTTGATAATACTTACAGATAATTATTACAACCTGTTTTTCATCAATGCGAAATATCGGGCCTCTTGACTATACACACATGATTCAGTAAGCACGACATATTAACAGACATGGAACATGAATAATGACGTAGAACTTTGTTACTATTTATTTCGAATAAAACTCTTACTCATGAAAGTCAGAAAGACAGACGTATACAAATTTAGCACCTTTTCTAAAATGTCTATAATAAGTATTACCTTTATTGCTTCCGTACAGGTGCTGGAGATACTGTGGCTGAAGTTGTGTACTGAACGTAAAGATGGTTCCTAATGCGATGACAACGTCATAACTAGGTTCAATGGACCGTTTATAAAGTGATTGATACTGCGCTTAAGGTTGTGTACAGAAAGTAAAGATGTACCTTATACCCCCTTCACATACACGGATTTTTCTTAAGAGTCCTTACGGTTCGCCCAAACTCACGGATCTTTCTCGGATCCTTACGATTTGGCCACTTTTACGACCGGTTTAAGAGTTATTACGAGCGGTTTGCGGTTTACTTCAGATTATTACGAGTTATTACGATGTATTTACGGCAACAGTCCACGATTTGTTACGAGTTGTCACGGATAACTACGAGCAACTAACGGGTTAGTTACGACCTGTTTACGAGTACGATACGAGTATTTACGAGTCCTTACGATTTTTAGCCAAAAAATTACAACTGAAAATTCAGTTTTCGAATTTGCAGCTTTTATACCTTCCCCAAATCGTAAACAGTTCGTTAAAATAGGTATCTATTCGTAAAGTACTCGTGACTACACATAAAATGCTAGTAATAACCCGTATCAATCCGTAAAGCCATCGTAAAATGACCCGAATAAAATCGTAAACAAAACGTAACCACACCTAACCATCCGTAAACTGCTCGCAATAATCCTTTAATAATCCGTAAACAAATCGTAAACTAACCGTAACGAATCGTTACAAAAATCTGTTACGACTCATTTACGGATTCTTGCGAGCAGCTAACGGATGGTTACGTGTTGTTGCGAGCGGTTTACGGATGGTTACGGATTGTTACGAGCTATTGACGAGCTATTTACGAACAAATCAATCCGTGGACAATCGTACGAAGATTTTTGACATGTCAAAAAATTTGCCTCTCCTTTCACGGATCCTTAAGAGAAGGTTCATTGATTTAAAAAAATAACTTTAATGTCATTATTGCAAAGGTGACACTTTGATTGGCCAAGGTTATCAAAAGCCAATGCTTGGAAGCATTCAAAGTAATCATTATTAACAATTACAACATATTGCTCCGAGTGTCTCATTTTCGCTCGCTGGATCACTGCAGCACAAACATAGCTTGTTCGACTTTTCTACCAAACTAGCCAATCAGCTGTCAATGACGTCATATTGAATGCGGCGGCAAATATATTTTGTGAAATTATCGAGAAATGGACTATTTCTAATTGCAAACTAGTTTTATTTTTGGATGGAAACGCAGCCATTGTTATCTTGAGATTTATTGAAGTCATCAGAATAGGGCAAGTTACGTCTCACTCTCAGATGATTCAAGAGGTCTATTTTGTAGATATATTTTCAATTTCGTAGAATGTTCCACTGTGTTGCAGGGTACCGGGTGTATGCCATTGGATGTGATGTGTTCGCGCGCAATCGCGCGAATTATACATTCTTCTTCTTCTTCGCTATAAGTACAGACCACCGCGCCGTCGGGTGTGAACATTCCTTTCCTTCTCAATACAATAACTTTCACCTGCCTAAGTTATTCAAACCATACGTAATCGCCACTTCCATTACGTAATCATTAAAAGGATCCGCATATACAACATTTTCCTGCTATACGTTGTACCGCAGGAAAATACAAATCTCCCTGGTATACCTTACAGTCCAAACGATAAATTTGTGCCTTAAACGAAGCAGGCGACAATCGGCGTAGCAGACGACACTTGATAGTAATTTTGTATGTGAGATTGCTTTGCTAAATATAAATTACTTTGTTAATAAATATCAACAAAAATTTCTTTTACATACCTTTAAACCATCATTGATATTTAATAATTCATGAGTGAGTAAAAGAAACATACCAAACTATATAATGATATGAAATACTTGGTGGCAATTAGGGGAGTTTGACGTGATGACCGATTGCACCCCTCTGTCAATAACCGAATAGTCCATGGTGTGTCATGAATATTCATGTTTTTGCTTACCTCGGCTAAATGTTTGCTTTTACTAAATGGAAAAATTACGATGGGGGGTTGGATGAAATGGACATAATGAACATAGCAGAAGTGATAATTGATAATTCATGCTTCTTATCCTTCGTGTGCTTGACCTATAATCTTACAATCGCTTGGCAGACTGAGTCCAAAGTTCGACTTGTTTCACATGTGTATTATAGGCAATGGCGAGCTTGCAACCTTTTTTGAAAAATTACGGTGGGTGAACTTTCAAAAGTCAATTAGACATGAGGGCTCCAATGAAAGAGCTATTGATAACGTACTGTACGTCGGGGTGGATGTGCTTTTCGTTTAACCAAAAAATGAATTTTTAACTATTTAAAAAACAAACGTCCATAGGCTAACATGTTAGGCTGCTGATTCTGACGATAGGGGGCGTTGGGAAATGAGACTAAACGGAGCAATATGAACGCTTAGATACAGCCCCGACATAGCGCCTGAAAAGCTCCCCGGTCACTGCTGAGATATGACGTCACATGTTGAACATGATGAGCACAAGCAGACGATGTCCCCTGACATCTCACACAATTTCAGTGCCTGTTTTGTCATCTTTCTTTCAGTCATTTCTCTTACTTCAATACCCTCAGGCGAAATGTTTAATCTATTGCCTCACTCTAAGCCCGTGCATGGTATTATTTTGATGACAAATGCAAGGATAACAACAACAAAAAGGAATCCCTCGCTTGTAAACAAGATAAGACGCCAATGTATTTTCAGCTGCACACACCGCGCCATGCTCAGCGTTTCAAGAGGGAGCAAAAGACGTCCATGCTATCATTCCGGAGGATTTTTAATTTGAAAGTGTGGTTTCTTTGATTGTTCATTAACCCCTATCCTGTGTATTTACAAACAAAAGAATTAAGTTATCAGAATGGGGGTCATATCCCTTTTTGAATGGTGTAAAATTCCATCAGATTTATATACACTAAACTCATTCTAATTTGAGAAATAAAAGCATTGCAATTATGTTCATTCTTTATGGGATGTCGTCTGCTTGGGTAGGGTTGGTTCATATTATGACGGTATTAAAACATCGTTATTTTTTTCAGCGAATCTGTCGCATATTCCAGATGCTATGGAGGTTGTTTTATTTGTATTTTTATAAATCACCCGATATGTAGTTGACCTAAAACTTCCATGATGGACATCTGTTAGCTTACCAGTTTCTAGTAATACGCTATTTGCCATATTTGTGATTTTCTATGAACCCGCACTTTAAGGGTGTCTACGAGTCGTTGCGAGTTGTAACGAGTTATTTACGGATACCAGCGAGTTATTTACGGATGCTTGCAATTGACTACGAGTTGGCGATCCGTAAGGACTCGTAAGAAAAATCCGTGTATGTGAAGTGGGTATCAACAACATCGATTGGAGACTATATGAAAAAGGTAAGCTCATGGAGTAACGGGTATGCCTGTTCATGGAAAGGGTTATCTGAAGAGAAATGAAAATGCTTTTTTTTTTGGAGCTGTAATGATCTTGTAAGTCTAAAGCTAAGTCGATGACTTATTAGTTTTCCTTTGAAAGAAGAAACGGCCACAATCGCGGTTTAGGATTACACAAGATGCAGTATCCTTTCATAAAGTGATTTAAAGCCCCACTGCACTACTTATAGTTACTTGCGCGCTCTATTGAGAGCTGATTTGATGAGATAACCACCTGTCAGTGATCATGCAGGGAGGTCTAATCCCTCCTGGCCAAACTAGTGCAGTGGGGCATTAAGTGACTGTATTGAGCCGCTTAGAAAGTGTGGAGCATAAAGAGAAAGAGACCTTTAATTCGTGATTCTTTACTTTCCCATAGACCTACATAATATTTTCGTATATAAAACTTACGTTCTGTGAAACTATATTTCACGCTCCATTTTTTTGCTCTCAAAAGACTCCACATGATCAGTTTTTGCCACCAATGAATATTGGATGAGATTAGCACGGTTAATTAACATCTTATTGCTTGTTTGTTTTGTACTTTAATCTGTTAGATATTTATTTGTTTGACTATACATGTACATATTCATTGCCTTACTTCTTGCATTTGCAACGTTTTACATATTATTGTATAATTCACTGTATATTTATTGTTATTTTTATGTTTGTGGACCCCTTTGAAAATCAGCTGTGCTGAAAGGGCCATCCACCCTATGAGAGGAAATGAATAAATATAAATAAAAATCACACAATAATCCCATCGACTTTAAGCTATACATTCAGGAACTATTATAATGGTTGTTATTTTAATAGTTAAAATTAGAGTTTTCCTTACTTGTATTTGTTACAATAACTATTTGTTTTAATTTAGTCTATTCTCTCTATTCATATATACATCATTTGCGTATTACCTACATATTCACTTACTTAAATTACTCAACACAATGCCTATCTCTATTTCACCTGGTATGTTTGAATTTATTTGAGTTTGTCAGTGGTTTTTGGATGATTGGTGTTTTAAATATATATTGATGAGAGCTTAATTTGTATTACTTTCCATTATCAATACCTTAATTTATTTCATGATCATGATATTACTATCATCATTTTTAGATCATAATTATCTCTTGAATACATATATATATATAATGAAACTTATGAAACCAATGAAAGGAGTTCAAGTTCAAGTTCGTTTATTTACACTCATCATTAAAAGTACAAGAACATATACAATTAAATACGGAATAATCACACATAAAATATCATACATTCAACAACAAAAAACATAACATAATGGGAGTGAAGGGATGAGCTAAAAAGGAGTATGGTCCTTATGCTAGAGCCCATCCCTCAGTATAATATAAATAAAAGGCAAATTAAATGTTGTGCGATTGGAAGCATGAACAAATTGGGGAAAACAGGGGGGGGGGTTGAGAGCCTGGTGAGTTAAAGCACGTAAGATTCAATTAAATACATTTTATATTTTCGTTTAAAAGTTTGAAGACTTTTGCAATTTCTTATATTTATTGGAATGGAATTCCACATTTTTGGACCATCGAAAGATATTGACTTTTTCATTAAGGTTGTTTTAATTTGTGGTAAGTGGAAATTAGATGCATTTCTAGTTTCATAATCATGAAAAGTCGAATTCAAATTAAAATACTTTAGAAGTGCATATGGTATAGATTCATTTCGACACAAGTACATAAAGACTGCAATATGATATTTATAGATATCAAATACATTGAGAAGCTTTAATTTATAAAATATAGGTTCCGAATGAGCTCTGTAGTCTGAATTTGAAATTACCCGGATGGCTTTCTTTTGCATTTTGAGCATCCTATTCAGATTGGTTTGGCTTGTCATGGCCCATACTTCAGGACAGTAATATAAATGAGGAAGAATTAAAGTATTGTATAAAATTCTTAAAACACATTTTGGTAAAAATCTAAGTTTGTTTAGAATGCCAGTATTTTTTTAGATCTTGTTGCAAACAGCCCCAGTGTGTTCATTCCATGTAAGTTTAGAATCAATTTCTATTCCAAGGAATTTGTTTACAGATACACGTTGGAATTCATGATTATTCACCTGAAGATCAACTTCATTAAAATCTATTTTTTGTTTTGTAAATACCATGTAGTTAGTTTTATTAACATTTAAAATTAATTTATTTAAAGAAAGCCAATGTAATAGCTTGTTTATTTCATTACCAAAGTCCTGTTGTAAACTTTGAATATTTTTATGAGCCATAAACACACTGGTGTCGTCTGCAAATAAGATATATTTTAATTTGTCCGATACATTGCACATGTCATTAATAGAAAGAATAAATAAAAGCAGGCCTAAAATAGAGCCTTGTGGCACTCCACATACAACTGTTTGTATAGACGAAGTATTACCTTTAATTTTGACAAATTTTTTTCTGTTTGATAAATAACTCTTAAACCAATTTAATAACACACGACGTATTCCGTAATTGAATAATGTTGCAAGTATAATATTATGATCTAGAGTATCAAAGGCTTTACTGAGGTCTAAAAACAATCCCATCATGATTTCCGATTTATCAAAAACTTGAGAAACTTGGCATGTAAAATCAGCTAAAGCTGAGGAAGTGGAGTGGCCTGTTCGAAAACCAAATTGTGAATTATTCAAAATATTATGCAGATTCAAAAAGGAATATAAGCGATTATACACAGCTCTTTCCAATATCTTAGAGAATACTGGAAATAGTGATATAGGTCTATAATTGGACATTTAAGTTTTAGTACCACTTTTAAATATAGGAATAATTTGAGCAATTTTCTGATCTGGTACGATCCCAGTTTCCAATGAAGAATTAAAACTTGCACATAATGGACAACAGATCAAATGTATAACTCTTTTAACCATCTTAACATCAACACTGTCAAAACCACTACATTTATTACTCTTTAATTTATCTACAATGTTTATTATTTCCCTTGGAGTGACTGGAGTAAAAATAAAAAGCAGTAGATTCAGTTTTCTTCAGATACTGTTTAAAATCAAACAAAGAAGCTTGAGAAAAAAACAATCTGGAGATGGAGGGAAAATGGATGGGACACATCTTACGGGGGATAACATGCTTACATGCTAACATGCAAGCACTGAATCCAATGATCGGGGTTATAGTATATTTGTAAAGCGCTTAGAGACACTGTATTAAGCGCTATATAAAAGCTAAATATTATCATATTATATTAGGGCATCTTGGAATTGAAGATGGATGGCAAACGAGGAAGAGAAAAGCGACAATTGTGATGTTGTCAAACTTGGAAGGTGATACATCATAAAGAAGAAGGCTAACAATAGAGAGGATGAGGATGAAGGCTCTGATGTATGTACCTGCCTTTGACTGAACATCAGAGAGAGAGAGAGTGTGTGTGTGAGAGAGAGAGAGAGAGAGAGAGAGAGAGAGAGGGAGAGAGAGAGAGAGACAGAGAGTGAAACTTATATGCATATACAACGCTCATATTGGCTAAGAGAATAACTAGGCTCAATCAGGCACAGATTTCCATCATTCAATAAATACGTAATAACTATTTGTTCAACCGTCGAAAAGAGCGCCCATTACCCACCCACACACACACGAGGGAACAATGACTGAATCGCTCTCATGGAGGTCGGGGCGGCTGGGGCTGCGGCTGCGGCCCCCGATATTTTTGTAACCGCCGTCTAATATTCGGGAAGTGAGTGTTCATTCTCTTTATCTTACCCTTTTTTTTCCTGACACAAGCACACATTTTTACGTTAAGACAGTTTAGTAAAAATTAATAATACGAACAATTTATATAGCGCTTGTGACATAAAAATTTCAAAGCGCTGTACACAAATCGAGATTACTTCAAGAAAAATCATTATTACAATCTTGTTTGCTCGCTCACAATATTTAAAAAAAAATGGAAGTTTGCCATTCGGGGAAGCGATATCAACGCCGCCCCTCTTCCCTGGCGAAATTTAAATAGTAGTAGTCATGGCGCGTAGGTATGAGTGGGGAGGGGTTAGTCGTCCTCAGGGTTAGTTTTCCAGGGGTAGTTGTCCTAGGGTAGAGCGTTTAGAAACGAATTAGTATTATAAGCGTTACACAAAGTTACTTTTATGGATATCATTTAATTCTTATTATCACATCAGGATCGTGGATATATACTCCGTCATCATAAGTTGATCGATCACGTCGATAACCACTATCAATCACATCTCGGTAAGGTGCGGGGAACTATCACGTGGTCTTGGTCCCAGGGTCGATTTCGCTTCGTTTGGTCTTGTTCCCAGATTGGGAACAGAAAAAAGCGAGAAGGAGCCAAGCGCCTTCAAAAAACTCAAAGATAGTGATGATTGAGAGGCCGAGCCACAGACCAAGCTGCCCGCCAATATCGCTCAGAAGATCAGGAATCTGAAATCAAACCAATCAAATGGAAAAGTTGTGACATTTCAAAATTCAATACGAAATATGATAATTTCGTTATTTAGAAAATTGTTAGCCTCAAGTCTCGATTTATAATTTGCAGCCCAGCCCAGATCCAGCGATGCTGATCGAATATTAAATCGTGTTCCTGAAATTAGCACGGTCTTATATCCAATTTGAAATCCAAATACTAAATGGTGTATATATTCAAATGGCTGAACTATATTGATTTTGAAAGCACGTTGAAGGTCTGTTTTAAGTTGTGAACAGTTTCGGAGATGTATGCGATGGAATTTGTATGAATGAAAAAGGGATGCAAGTATCTTGTCTCCATAATCGTAGATATCTGACAAAGAAAGGGAGAGAAAAAAAGGAAATTACCGTGTATGCAGCGTCTTGTCGAATGTGTTCATAGTTAAACTCATCGTAGAATATCTCCACTTTAGCCATATTCCTCCTATAAACAAGAAAACAATGAACGAAAAGTACATGCACGCGATGTTCATTAACACTGTGTGTTCGGTTAACACAAAAACCGAGCTGAAAGGTGATTTTATAGTAGTGCAATGTCATGTAATATATGTTGCTATAGCAACGACATCATCCGTCACGTGTTGGTTGTATTGTTGTTTTGAAGGTTATGCAACATTTCTTCGATTTTTGCAAAAGAAATATTTCTCACCTACTACCACTTCTATTGCTATATACTACTCTACTATAGTTATATAATAATAATAATGATAATAATAACTAGATTTTAATTCGTCACGAGGACGAATAAGGTGGTCTGCCTTCAAGTTATATAGACATGTAAACAATGATGATCATGATGATGATCATGATGATGATGATCTTGATAGTAATGGTGATGACGATGATGATGATCATCACGATCATGATGATGTTGATGATCATCATCAACAGACCATGATGACATCAGACTGAACAAAATGAGAGAACTTTGAGATAGTATATAGTCTCAGCTACAACATACTCAAAAATCAACAAAAATCAAGCCGAAATAACGGCGATATTGCTCGCAAAAGACAAGAATGTAGAATCTAGATTTGAGAAAAAGTCATCTCCCATAAGGATTACACGCAAAAAGTAATGGTGATAATAGGGTAATAATAAAGTAAATATGGTTGTTTATTACATTATTTGCGAAAAAAAAAAAAAAAAAAAAGTGAAGAAAAAAAATTGTTGGAGACGCCCGGACTCGAACCAGGGACCTCGAGGTCGGAAGTCAAGTGCGTTACCGATATACCAAAACATTTCACATAGAGATTACACGTAAACGGAAAATGGAATTCTCTAATCCCACTATGTAAGTGAAATATGAGCATGATCCCGGCATCTGATCGAAAAATAAAGGGCACACTTGTGATAGCTTATTGTCTCAGCTACAACATACTCAAAGCTCAGCCTTAACAAAAATAAAACGACGGAGATATTGCTCGCGAAAGACAAAAATGTAGAATCCAGTTTTGAGAAAAAGTCATGTCCCATAGAGAATACACGCAAAATGTGAAAAATTGACATGCCTCCTTTAATCGCAAAAATACGCCATTATACCATTGTCAAAATGAAATATCGTGTAGACTGCATTTGTAGAGAATATATTCAGGTAGAACATATCAAAATTTGAAAGAAAATTGATCAATATTTACAGAGATACAATCAATTTTCTAAAAATCTGCTGACGTCATAATATGCAAATTCGTTTTTTGAGTTCCAAGGCCATTATGATGACGTCATGAGTTAATTGAGGGTCAAATGAGACCTAAAATCATATCTCCAACTCACCTTCTATCCAAATATGAGAACAATTTGGGGGTTCTGTGGACTTCCTAAAGAGCTATAATGGATTTTGTATAGGCATGTTTTTGCCCATATATGCTATGTATTACAAGATCTCGCGCGTACGGACGTGTATTTTAAACGGACGCTAATTCCGTCAATATTGGTCATGAAAAGATAAACATGGTATCAAATTGTTCGGAAAAGGTTAAGGAATATCCTGTCAAAAGTTCGGGTTAGGGAATTATTTTTCGTTTGGCCGCTACGAAAGAAAACGCGCGAAAAATGTGTGTTTTGCGCGATTTTTATGAAATGCTTAAAATGCCCGGAAACGTGTGCAAACAAAATTTGGGACGAATTAGAGCATTTTAAAATTTTGATGCGCGCGTACGCGCGCGTCGAGGTGCGCGCGCAAAATTTGTTGACATTTTTCGTTGACCTTTGACCTGAAGTTGATGTATACCAAATATGGTTGATTTTTGATGATTCGTTATCGAGATATGATAATGACCTGATTTTTACAAAATGGCGCCTGGATGACGTCACGATAACATAATGACCTTGAAAATGTTAATTAGACTTGAAATCATAGGGCCTGATGACTGACAGAAATTCGAAGGAAATTGACTTTGTCGATTTCGAGTAAACGTGTGGACAAAAAAGTGTACGGAAGAATTTTAATTGAATTGAGTGTTTGTACAAATTCAATTAAAATACTAGAATTTAAATCGTCACGAGGACGATTAAGGTGGTCTGTCTTCAAGTCTTATGATAGATTATAATATTTACTATATTGAGCAAGGGAGAAGTTATATAGACATGTAAACAGTGATGATCATCATGATCATGATGATGATGATCTTGATAGTAATGGTGATGACGATGATGATGATGATGATGATGATGATCATGTTGATGATGATTATCATCAACAGACCATGATGACATCAGACTGAAAAAAATGAAAGAACATTTAGATAGTATATAGTCTCAGCTACAACATACTCAAAAATCAAGCCGAAATAACGGCGATATTGCTCGCAAAAGACAAGAATGTAGAATCCAGATTTGAGAAAAAGTCATCTCCGATAAGGATTACACGCAAAAAGGAATGGAACAAGTGAAAATAGGGTTATAATAAAGTAAATATGGCTGTTTATAACGTGATTTGCGATTCTACGTGTTTAAGAATTCAAAGGAGATGGTACAGTGAAAGGTCAAAAAGAAAAAAAAGATTTTAGGAGACGCCCGGACTCGAACCAGTGACCTCGAGGTTGGAAGTCAAGTGCGTTACCGATATACCAAAACATTTCCCAAAGCGATTACACGTAAACGGAAAATAAAATTCTCAAATCCCACTTTGCAAGTGAAATGTGAGCATAATACCGGCATGTGATCGAAAAATAAAAGGCACACTAATGATAGATTATTGTCTCAGCTACAACATACTCAAAGCTCAGCGTAAATAAAGATAAAACGACGGAGATATTGCTCGCGAAAGACGAGAATGTAGAATCCAGTTTTGAGAAAAAGTCATGTCCCATAGAGAATACACGCAAAATGTGAAAAATTGACATGCCACCTTTAATCGCAAAAATACCCCATGATACCTTTGTCAAAATGAAATATTGTGTAGACTGCATTTGTAGAGAATTGTCTAAGCTAGATCATATCAAAATTTGGAAGAAAATTGATCATTGTTTACAGAGATACAGTCAATTTTCCAGAAATATGCTGACGTCATAATATGCAAATTGAAATTTTGAGTTTGGAGGCCATTATGATGACGTCATGAGTTAATTGAGGGTCAAATGAGACTTGAAATCATACCTCCAACTCATAATCTATTTAAATATGAAAGAAATTGGGGGTTATCTATCAATTCTGAAGAGTTAAAATGAATTTTGTATAGGCATGTTTTTGCCCATGTATTGTGGATATAGATAGCGCAGGTCGGCGCGTGCGTTCAACTTTGACAGCCGCTAATTGCAGTATTACTGGTCGGAAAAAGGTAAACAAGGTATCAAAATGCTTGGAAAAATGTAATAAATATGATAACAGAAAAAATTTGGCGATTCTATGTTGCAAAATGCCAGGACGCGCGCGCATAATTACGCGCGCGCAAATTTTGAAAATGCTTAAAATGGCCTGAAACGTATGCAAAATTAATTTAGAACGAATTTGACCATTTTAAAATTTTAATGCGCGCGTACGTGCGCGTCGAGGTGCGCGCGCGAAATTTGATGAAATTTTTAGTTGACCTTTGACCTGAAGTTGATGTATACCAAATATGGTTGATTTTTGATGACTCGTTATTGAGATATGATAATGACCTGATTTTTACAAAATGGCGCCTGGATGACGTCATGATGACCTAATGACCTTGAAAAAGTTGATTTAACTTGAAATCATAGGGCTTGATGACTGACAGAAATTTGAAGGAAATTGACCATGTCGATTTCGAGTGAACGTGTGTACAAAAAAGTGTACGGAAGAAATAAAAATAAACTAGAAATTTAATTCGTCATGGGGACGAATTAGGTGGTCTGTTTTCAATTTCCATGATCATTGACACGTCAAAAAGTAAAAAAATTGATGAAAAAAAATTGTTGGAGACGCCCGGACTCGATCCATGGACCTTGAGGTCGGAAGTCAAGTGCGTTACCGATACCAAAATATTTCCCATAGAGATTACACGGAAACGGAAAATACAATTCTCAAATCCCACTTTGTAAGTGAAATATGAGCATGATACCGGCATCTGATCGAAAAATAAAGGGCACACTTATTATAGCTCATTGTCTCAGCTACAACATACTCAAAGCTCAGCGTAAACAAGGATAAAACGACGGAGATATTGCTCGCGAAAGACGAAAATGTAGAATCCAGTTTTGAGAAAAAGTCATGTCCCATAGAGAATACACGCAAAATGTGAAAAATTGACATGCCTCCTTTAATCGCAAAAATACGCCATGATGCCTTTGTCAAAATGAAATATCGTGGCGACTGCATTTGTAGAGAATATTCTAAGGTAGAACATATCAAAATTTGAAAGAAAATTGATCAACATTTGCAGAGATACAATCAATTTTCCAAAAATCTGCTGACGTCATAATATGAAAATTAAAATTTTGAGTTCGGAGGCCATTATGATGACGTCATGAGTTAATTGAGGGTCAAATGAAACATGAAATCATATCTCCGATTCATACTCTATCAAAATATGAAAAAAAACTTGGGGTCACCTTACATCCTAAAGCGCTACAATGGATTTTGTACAGGCATGTTTTTGCCCATGTATGCTATGTATTACAAAAGCTCGCGCGCACGGTAATTATCTTAAACGGACGCTCATTCCGTTATTAATGGGCAGAAAAAGTTGAACAAGGTATCAAAATGCTTGAAAAATGTGCCAAATATGATGACAGAAAAAATTTGGCGATTCTATGTTGGAAGATGCAATTACGCGCAAAAACGCGCGCGCATGTGCGTGCGCGCGTTTTTTTGCGAAATGCTTAAAATGGCCTGAAACGTATAGAAAAATAATTTGGAACGAATTTGAGCATTTTAAAATTTTAATGCGCGCGTACGTGCGCGTCGAGGTGCGCGCGCAAAATTTGATGAAATTTTTAGTTGACCTTTGACCTGAAGTTGATGTATACCAAATATGGTTGATTTTTGATGACTCGTTATTGAGATATGATAATGACCTGATTTTTACAAAATGGCGCCTGGATGACGTCACGATGACCTAATGACCTTGAAAAAGTTGATTTAACTTGAAATCATAGGGCTTGATGACTGACAAAAATTTGAAGGAAATTGACCATGTCGATTTCGAGTGAACGTGTGTACAAAAAAGTGTACGGAAGAAATAAAAATAAACTAGAATTTAAATCGTCACGAGGACGATTAAGGTGGTCTGTCTTCAAGTCTTATGATAGATTATAATATTTACTTTATTGAGAAAGGGAGAAGTTATATAGACATGTAAACAATGATGATCATCATGATGATGATGATGATCTTGATAGTAATGGTGATGACGATGATGATGATCATGATGATGTTGATGATTATCATCAACAGACCATGATGACATCAGACTGACAAAAATGAGAGAATATTTAGATAGTATATAGTCTCAGCTTCAACATAATCAAAAATCAACAAAAATCAAGCCAAAATAACGGCGATATTGCTCGCAAAAGACAAGAATGTAGAATCCAGATTTTGAGAAAAAGTCATCTCCCATAAGGATTACACGCAAAAAGTAATGGATCAAGTGATAATAGGGTAATAATAAAGTAAATATGGTTGTTTATTACATTATTTACGATTGTACGTGTTTTAATATTGAAAGGAGATGGTACAGTGAAAGGTCAAAAAGAAAAAAAAGTGAAGAAAACAAATTGTTGGAAACGCCCGGACTCGAACCAGGGACCTCGAGGTCGGAAGTCAAGTGCGTTACGGATATACCAAAACATTTCCCATAGAGATTACAGGTAAACGGGAAATGGAATTCTCAAATCCCACTTTGGAAGTGAAATATGAGCATGATCCCGGCATCTGAATAAAAAAATAAAGGGCACACTTATGATAGCTTATTGTCTCAGCTACAACATACTCAAAGCTCAGCGTAAATAAAGATAAAACGACGGAGATATTGCTCGCGAAAGACGAGAATGTAGAATCCAGTTTTGAGAAAAAGTCATGTCCCATAAAGAATACACGTAAAATGTGAAAAATTGACATGCCACCTTTAATCGCAAAAATACGCCATGATACCTTTGTCAAAATGAAATATTGTGTCGATTGCATTTGTAGAGAATTGTCTAAGCTAGATCATATCAAAATTTGGAAGAAAATTGATCATTGTTTACAGAGATACAGTCAATTTTCCAGAAATATGCTGACGTCATAATATGCAAATTGAAATTTTGAGTTTGGAGGCCATTATGATGACGTCGTGAGTTAATTGAGGGTCAAATGAGACATGAAATCATACCTCCAACTCATAATCTATTTAAATATGAAAGAAATTGGGGGTTATCTATCAATTCTGAAGAGTTAAAATGAATTTTGTATAGGCATGTTTTTGCCCATGTATTGTGGATACAGATAGCGCAGGTCGGCGCGTGCGTTCAACTTTGACAGCCGCTAATTGCGGTATTACTGGTCGGAAACAGGTAAACAAGGTATCAAAATGCTTGGAAAAATATAATAAATATGATAACAGAAAAAATTTGGCGATTCTATGTTGCAAAATGCCAGGACGCGCGGATACGCGCGCGCAAATTTGAAAATGCTTAAAATGGCCTGAAAGGTATGCAAAATTAATTTAGAACGAATTTGACCATTTTCAAATTTTAATGCGCGCGTACGTGCGCGTCGAGGTGCGCGCGCAGAATTTTTTGACATTTTTCGTTGACCTTTGACCTGAAGTTAATGTATACCAAATATAGTTGATTTTTGATGACTCGTTATCGAGATATGATAATGACCTGATTTTTACAAAATGGCGCCTGGATGACGTCACGATGACCTAATGACCTTGAAAAAGTTGATTTAACTTGAAATCATAGGGCTTGATGACTGACAGAAATTTGAAGGAAATTGACCATGTCGATTTCGAGTGAACGTGTGTACAAAAAAGTGTACGGAAGAAATAAAAATAAATAAAGAAATAAAGAAAGAAAATTCTAGCGAAATCAATAGGTGATCTGTCGTTGACAGACCACCTAATAAAGAATAAATAAATAAATAAAGAAAGAAAATTCTAACGAAATCAATAGGTGATCTGTCATCGACAGACCACCTAATAAAGAATAAATAAATAAATAAATAAATAAAGAAAGAAAATTCTAGCGAAATCAATAGGTGATCTGTCGTTGACAGACCACCTAATAAAGAAAGAAAATTCTAGCGAAATCAATAGGTGATCTGTCATCGACAGACCACCTAATAAAGAATAAAGAATAAATAAATAAATAAAGAAAGAAAATTCTAACGAAATCAATAGGTGATCTGTCATCGACAGACCACCTAATAATGCTTTTGTTTATCCAGGGAAACCTTACCAGCATGCATATTGTTCTTCCTGAAGGCCCTGCAATAAGCATTACCCCAGCAATTCCCAGGTATTCAATCACATCTGGGAGGAAATTAATCTCTTGCCAAAGGACATTAGAACTGGACTGGGATTCGAGTCAAGTGAATCAACCATTATACCACGACACTTCCACTATCGAAAATTTGTTCATTTGCACATTTTGGTAGGTCTACTTTTGTTTTAAAATATTTGAGCATTCAACTCACCTAGTCCAGTCCGAAGCGTTTTCACCTACGACATGCCTCCGAATTTCTGCATTATACTTCACCATCTTTTCAATTAGCGTAGACTATGGATCAATATAATTCATGTGATAAAAAAGTTAGGATCAGTATTAAATGCCTCATTTCCCCCTTTTTAGTCAGAGTCGTAACAGTCATACAAAATATGATGGTGCAAAAAATAAGATAGGGCAAGCTTGATATGTGAGGAGAAATTCCATGCGTAAAACCGTCATTAAAAAGTAATTGTCTAAAAATATGTCTTTCCTGGGTGAAGCTGTGTGTATGTGCGTGTGTGTGCGTGTGTGTGTGTGTGTGTGTGTGTGTGTGTGTGTGCGTGAGATTGTATTTTTGCTTCGTTGAGTGTATACGCTTCGGCAACACATTTATTTAAAAAGATATTGGAACGATACAGAGAATATGATAATAGTTATATTTCTGAAGTTAAAAGATAAACTTCACGATTTTATAGAGTTACGATAATTCAGTGTTGGTTGTTTCTTCCTTCAATACGTTACCAGATGCCTCAATTATCATTCAACAACGACTATTAAAACGAGACAACAATACATAGCAGGTATCATCTAACTTACCTCATAAGCATCTGAAGGCCAGATGGAAGAACTGACACTTGTCAAATATGTCGTTTCACTGTAATGGGGAAATGAACGATGAAAAATTGTCTTAAATTTAGAAAAACAATTTCCAAAATAGTCAGGAAAAATAATATGTCCCGACACCTCTATGATTCAACACCCTATCTATCGACACCCTCTGTTTAGACAAGTTTAGATCTAACACACCTTTGTTTTGGCACCCCATTTAAACAATACCCGAATCCCTTTAATATTTTCCACCTCCGTATGTAACGATGTTTTTTCTTACGACACCTATATGTTCCGACTACCCCTTGTTCCAACCCAACACTCCTAAGTTCCGAGATCGCTATGTTCTGACTACCCCATGTTACAAAACAACACTCCTAACTTCCGAAACCACTATGTTCCGATACCTCAATGTTCTGACATCATATATCAAAATTAACCACTAAATATGAATAAATAAATAAATAATATACAAAACACAAATTGATTAAAAAAATCTTACCGGCAGGCGAGGGGGCAGTTACACTCTAGCTCGTCACGGGCATGTTCCATCTCGATATCGGCCATACATTGGGTTTCTGGGGGAAAATGATATATTGTATTTCTTATTTAACATTTGGTGGGCCTTTTGAAAAGTATGAAGCCCACCATCAGTCAGTATCAATACTGCTCTCTACGAGGGCCCTAGTCATACACCTACTCTATCTCAGCTATCATAATGCGCAAAAGCATTGAAGAACTGTCTTCCTACCAGCTACCCATTTATTCATCTGGCTGGAGAGTGGTACTTATCAAAGTAGATCCAGATCTTGCTAAATGACATTAGTGCCGTGAGAGGGACTCGAACTCCATACCTCGTGTTTTTGGTAACTTATCCACGAGACCAATACTCCTAGACGTGTCGATATTGCACGATGCATCCTTTGCACGGGAGTAGTTGTTAACCCGGCTAAAACCCATATAACTTACAATGTCAGTCTCTTGAGCCCTCTTGCCACTTTTCATCAATGTTCAGAGGGTGTTATAGACCGCTAGCCTATGAGACCGACAGCCCTCCGAGACCGAAAAAAAAAAAACACATTGTCGGAAAGCCACGAGACCGACTGCCCCCCCCCCCCCAAAAAAAAAAAAACACCCTGCAATATCGGTCTCGTGGGTCTTCTTAACACTTTACAGAGGTTTCAGTAGACCGACGCCCCGTGAGAACGCCAACAAACAAGACCGACATGTTCTTCTTTTTGAGAGTGGTTTGAGGTGTCTCTCTCGAGTACTGTCGGTCTACTGCTGGGTCTACGCCCTCTACGCCAAGGTTTACCAACGTCATTGATGTATTCACATGGGTAGACAGTACGGTTGACTTTAAGAGAGTTTGGGTACGTTGCGTCAAAGCAATCACATCTACTTATCACCTCATTTTGGAAGCAACTCACTTCACACGTCTGTCAAAGGAAAATAGAAAAAGAAAGAAATGCACCTTAAAGAGAGACATAAACTAACTTATGGGGTACTATTTGATTGTTGGAAACATTTTATTTTTCCTCTGCATATCTTGTTGTTACCAATTTGTTCATATTCTTCATAATCTCATCTTTGATATTTGCTACTAAAGTATGTATAATTACATTCTTAAAATATTCATATTGGGTACAAAGTATATAGCTGTACCTTCAACAAACTCCAGTTTGATTAACTGATGAATTTAGTTTTAATTAATGGATGTAGCATGTTTAAAAAAACTAAATTCTTCACATACATCCTCTATCTACCTTCCTGTTGTATGTGATGTTGTAATGTTGATGGTAAATATCATCCTCAATACCCTGTTTCAGGTCTGCCTTGCAATCCCCATAGGGTTTAGGTAGTCGATCCACCTCGAGCTGAAACAAGATTCAAAATTCGAGATTCAAGATTCAAAGTTAGGCATCTCACATCTCCCGATGCATGTACACCTGACACGATAAAGAGAATTAATAATTGTTTACTAAAAATGACGGAAATTTATAACAGGATTTGATTTTCATTTAGATATTCATCAGATGTGAGGAATAGTATGTCTATGCTGTTTCCCCTGATACTAGTTACCAACGTTTTATTGTGGATTCCGAAGCTGTGATTTTTGCATTTAAAATTTCTCCTTGAAAGCTGGAATGTCGAAATTAGGTAGTTTATACATACATCTTTGCAATGGGGTTAATGCAAAAGCATTGGTGTTATCAATAGATTATTAAAGCCTACCAATGGGCCCTTCGATGGGCCTTTATTTACGATTTAATCAATAAAATGGATATTAAGAATTGTGATAAAAGGGACAGGTGCCCGACTGGGGTGTTTAATATGTTATCCACATCTATCATCAATGGGTTCAACACATCATATAGCATTTTTTGAAATATTTTAGTCAGTAAAATGCACGACATTTCACGCATTTCCTATTGGGCTGCGATAAATAGACTCATGGCTCCTGGGACCCCTCAGGTGCCCTAAACATGATGCTTTTTTTGATACTTTTTTAACCTGACTAAAATAAATTAAGATTAAAAAAAAATTAAATGGGAAAGAAATAACCTCTTGATTAAGATGAAAATCGATGGACTATGCATGCCTGGAACCATTATCTGAAACTCTTTGAAAAAACATTTGGAAAGTTTTCAGGGAAAATTATGATTGCTAAAAAAAAATTAAACAAATTCTTTCATATGTTTTGTATTGTAAACTGGACCCCTCGGTAGAACAAGGGATCGAACAAAAAATGATTAATTATCCCGAAAAGGCCGAAGGACAGATCTGCCGGGCTAGTGGACTTTCAAAAAAACTTTTCAGAAGGTTTCTTAGACCGATAAATTCAGTTTCGTGGGCCATAGCATATTTTGTCGGTTATTGCTCGATTTGTGGTCAGTTTGGTTGTGTGACTCAGGTAGTAAAGATTTCCCGTGTTTCAACGAATATACATAATGAGACGAACGATCGCAAACTCTTACAAGAAACCAATCTCAAGGCAATTTCATTAACCTGGTGCTTAAACTATTGGAATATTCAACCATTACTATAACGCCTTACATAATCTTAACGTGATTTATAATAATATAAGGCAATGTAATAGGAAATTGAAATTGCATTTAAGTCGATTTCTTAAGTCTTGAAATCATGTTGAGAACGACTTTGTCTCACCACGCGAAGTCCAATGTCGGTGGCGAAACCTGGAGACACCAAGAGACCATTATATTCCGGGAATGGCATAATGGATGGATGGTGGACACTGACCCTAAAACCTGCTACTTCTGTCATACCTTCCACGTACTCATCTTGCTGCACAAAGAGCTCCAGAGTAAGACCTGGTTTGGAGAACGGAGTAAGAGTTAACAGGCCCATTTACTTTCTCCCTCTCTCTCTCTCTCTCTCCCTCTAAAATAGAATGAAATTTTACTCTATTTTCACTCTACCAGCATGGTGTAAATTTAGTGGACATTCACCCTTAAACCTGACACCTCACTCATCCCTTTCGCGTATTCATCAAACTGAGCAAAGAGATCCAGAGAAAGACCTGTTTTGGAGAACAGTGGAAGCCTACCAAACAGTCAATAGGCTCATATACTTACTCGCTCTAAATAAAGAGTGAATTTTTTACTCTATTTCCCATTACCCGGGAGTCACATCAGTAATCAATTAATCAGGATTGGATATCGATTAAGTTTATATTGCTCTCCAAAAAGAAGACTTAGTTTTCACTCAATTTTTACTTTGGTGTTACTACCCCAGGAAATAACGTGAGGTCAATGATCATTCGATCTACGAAGGGATCCCTATTCCCTCTTATGACTCTTACAGTGGCTCCTCTGGGAGGACGGTCCTAACACTGCTATTTTACAACAACGCCATTTTAAAGTGAAAGTTGCTTTAATAGCAACTGAATCTTAATGGCAGTGTTGTTAAAACAACTTGAACCGTAACACCACTATTACAGATAAATTGATTTTTTTTTTGTGGATCGAAAATGGCCTAATTAAGGATTGTTGTTAAAGGGAACCAAAACCTTCATACTAAGTTACTTTTATTGTAAAGTTTAAAAGATTTGAATAAAATCAGTGAAAATTTGAACAAAATCGGGCAAGGAATAAGGAAGTTAGAGCTTTTTGAAATGACTAGTAACTAGAGGGCGGTATTCAATTTGATGACATCATCTGTGGACAACTCTCCATGCCTTTTGTACATACAATTTCACAATTTTTTCGTTTTCTTCGTATTTATTTGTGTTCTTGATCCGACTTCATAACATGTGAAGTAGAATATAGTTTTGCATTTTATATCTTGCTTTCAGGGGAGTAGATTATCTCAATCACAAGAAAGAAGGAAAAACATGAAATTTGATGTACAAAAGGCATGGAGAGTTGTCCACAGATGATGTCATCAAATTACATACCGCCCTCTAGTGACTAGTCATTTCAAAAAGCTCTAACTTCCTTATTCCTTGCCCGATTTTGTTCAAATTTTCACTGATATTTGTCAAATATCTTAAACTTTACAATAAAAGTAACTAAGTATGAAGGTTTGGTTCCCTTAAAACTTACCGTGAGTAGAGCCTGGTCGGTGGGTGGTTAATTGTTCCTCATTTTGTCCAGAATTAAAGGTGTAACAGTTTCCCAGTTTGGAGTCGTAAAACTTTGTAAAATTTCTATGAAGTAGAAAAAGATATGACGTTAACGTTATTTACAAGAAAAGTGTCAAGAGATCACTCGAATTGCTGCATGGTTTCCGGCTAGCTATCATAAACCTATAAATAGTTTGGTTATATGGACTTTTAATAAACAACTGTTATAGTATTCATGGTGTTGAGCCTTGGCAATTTTGTTTGTTTTCAATCTGCTTTTTTTGTTGTTGGTGGGGGGGGGGGGGGGTTTACTCAGCATCTATCGTTGATCTTGCAAAAATCGAAGGTGAGAGGATCCCCTATTTCTTAATCGTTGGGAAATTTCCAGCTAGCTTGTAGAAAATATGGTCCTTAATGGTCTATATACAGCGACATCCATAGTCTCATAGTGGCAGATCGAAAGGGGGGGGGGTGAGGGCACGTGCCCTCTGGTATTACTTAAGTATACATTAAACAGGTATATCAAACACAATAACAGAATGTGCTCCTTAATAGTTATTGTGCCTCTTGTAAACAATTGTAGACCCCTAGGCCAAAATGTAATTTAAAAATCTGTTTCTTTGCTTTTCACTTTTCAGAGTTTATTCTTCAGGGTATTGCACCCCCCCCCCCCCCCGGACAGGAAATGTCCTTACTCGGGTGAGCAGGGTATGCCTTTCCAGGAGCAATCAAGTAGCATATCATCCAACTTATGACCCAGAGAAACCCGCTCTTCCAGAGTCGCATTGGCGAGAGTAACTACTCGAATACGTTTCTTCCCGTAATCCACAGATTTCATTCGATAGAACCTTGGTATCGCGATACGAGATCTCCAGTCGATCACAGCCTGAAAATAGAAAAAAGAAAAGATGGATAAACTCAACCGATAATCGCTGAGTTTTTAATTGCTTGTATACATTGTTTTGTGTATTTGCGTATCCATTTCCGCTGTGAATATTGTACCTTATATCAGCCAGTATCTTATGCCTCAATGTTATCCAATCAAATCTGGTTATACTACTACTACTACTACTACTACTACTACAACTTCTACTACTACTACTACTACTACTCCTACTACTACTACTACTACTACTATAACTTATACCACCACCATCACCACCACAACTATCCCTACTACTGCTAATGTTTATATATAGATTGCATTTGTTCTTCAAGAACAATTTTTCTAGAATGTATCTCAAGGGTAATTTGTATACCCTATTGTAGCCTACATCTCAAAGAAAAATGTTGGGATAACTTGTACAAACTATGTCATGTTCACATTTCAATATAGGGGATGAACAAGGCTGTTGAACCATGATTGAAATCAACTACAGTGATTAAAGACCGAACATGAACAGCTAGACTGAATACCATAATTACAACAACAAAAAATACCTCAGATATTTCGATTTGTTCATTACTAGACCCTCCTTGAGTTTCATTGCCAGAATCAGAATTATTGAGCATAGAAGGTGTGACGCCATCTAGAGTCGAATCATAAACATAATATCTTATGGAAGATCAAAGTCCTTTAGATAGAAAATGATAGTCACAATGACAATTCCCCCCCCCCCTACAATGTACATCCTACTATATCCTAAACCATTGTATTTAAATTGATTAAAAGAAATGAAAAGCGAAGAATGAATATCGTGATGTCGAGATGATATTTAGTATTTATGTCATAATAAACAGAGATAGTGGCACAAATAGATCACATACAAAGATCTGATACCTCACCAAAGGGAAAGAAAAGGTAAAGAGAAGCCTACGAAATGATGAGCGTGTTCATAATTATGGCAGTTGGTGCGGAAATTGCGGATTGCTCACCGATATGATATGCATAGGGGTCAAAGAGTGGAGGGTTGGGGTAATACAGCCTACTGTACCCTCAACTCCCTCCTCCTCCTTTCTGCTGATCCTAATAGTACCTTAGTTAGGCCACCAAACAGACTCAAAACCGATTCCAGGCTGTTCGGCGTAATGTAACTTTCTGTTCGGACTGTTATCGGTCTCATAGTGGTCTCGTAGTCATGACTCTATAATTCGACTCGAGTCCGAAACAAACATCGACTTATAATGAGCCAAATAAAGATATCAGTGTTCACTTTCGATTTTTCTATTTCAATGTAACAATATTTTTCACATTAATAAAATACTCGAACAACAATATGATGTGTACATAATGATATGTGTTTTTTTTTAAAGATCCAAGTAACCACAGGATGAAGACATAAATCTCGTGTAATAATCACTTGCTTGTGTCGAGAATGTCCTAACCTTACCTGGCACGTCAGGTAGGGGCTGCTCGTCAGGAAGGGGCTGCTGGTCGGGCAGATCGGGCATGCTGGGCACGTAATGGACGTCGAATAGTGCTTGGAATAATGCATCCCTGGTTTCGAGTTCGGATCTCTTTATCGGATTCGCGTTGCAGATGGTGATTGCCGGAAAGGATTGGGTCCGGTTGAACCTCACCTGATAATGGTATCGAAAAACAGCCACAGATCAAAACCGTTTGATAGGGTCATTTATTTACAAGGTATTGAACTACTTAGCCATTCAATTTAAGATTTGCCAATCTTTCACAACATTAAAAAGGTCTCTTAAAATACATCTTTTCTAATTTCTTTGTATCATTTTTTTTTGTTTTTTGCATTGTATATTTTGTTATTGCGTTGATGCCCTTTTATCTTGATAAGGCGCTCTAGAAATAAAATGTAATGTATATATCTAATTTAACTACTACTACTACTACGACTACAACTAGTACTACTACTATATATTAGCAGTAGTAGTAGTTCGTGTAGTATCGGAGTAGTAGTGTCGAAGTATATAGTAGTAGTAGTGATATTATTATTATTATAGTAGTAGTATTAGTAGTAGTAGTAGTAGTAGTAGTAGTAGTTGTTGTAGTAGTAATATTATTATTATTATTATTATTATTATTACTATTGTTATCATTGTTATTATTATGATTATCATTGTTATTACCAACGACATTATCATTGTCATTATTATCAAATGTATATTCAAGGTCGGATCGGGACTCACATTCATGATTCAGCAAAGGAACTTTGACTCCCTTGAAAAATTGGCGTAGCCAGGGACACCCGCACCCAATTTTGAAATATATCATCGAACTCTTTTTTAAATCCTGACACATATCGCATCCTTTTCTCCCTTTCTCCTCAAATTAAATATTTGCTCTACAATTTCACTTAACAGACATGACAAATGGAGCAAATGCTTCTACAAAATTCTTCAGATATGTAGGTAAGTATTTAAAGAAACTATGTACAGGGAGGCGAGGGGTGAGTAATAACATTTGACAGTGAATGATGAGTTGTAAAGATAATGAAACGTGATTGTAAATTATTTCGATGACGATTTTCTTTTGTTAATATTGAGTAATCCCCGTGGCCAATGAAAGGGAATAATTCTGTTAGAATGGTACCGTGAAATTAATGATATTATGATAAGTATATTAAGCCATGATTAAGCTGACGCAAAGTGCGTAGGTTGTACATCTGCATTCAAGGTCAGGGGCGGCGAAGCGTAGCCAAAGTGAGGGGCAACAACAAAAAAGGGCACTTTCTGGAGAAAAAAGGGGCACCTACAAAGGGAAACCTCAGAGTAAACATACACCATTTTTAGACATTGGTATATACCCCTACATCGTCATGATTGTGATTACACTACCAGCGATAATATGTATATTTGTTTCTCTCTTTACGTGGTACAATATACAGCTTAAAGAACTTGGGGGTACCTGAAAAAATGGGGGGCTTTAAACTAATCAGCTGTACATACGACATCATTCACACACAGAAATTTCGGTGCGATCGTTAATCGTTTTGTGATTAACTACTGCTCTTAAAATGCGCAGTAGTGCCATTGCGCATTGAAGGTCATGTCATATCAAACAAAGCGCACGCTCCATTCAGTTTAAACACGTTTAATCACGAATAACCGTTCACACACAAAATGTCAAGCTCTCTAGATACGAACTTCGTATCTGCAGCCTGCTTTGAGGGGCGTATGAATCGCGACTTCGTATCTATCCGAACATCGTATAAACGATGTTCACACAGATCATTTTTTTCTTTAAACATGTTTAAAACTGTTGAGTTAAACACGTTTAAACTAATCATCTCTAGATACGATGAATTTTAGCTGTGTGTGAAAAGGCTGCATGTTACAGTAATGTATACAATAATGTAGGCCGTAGCCCAGACACAATCCTGTTTTCAACATGCCACCTGACAGGTGTCAAAATGACACCTGTGGGGTTAGCCGATCTAAGGGGGAGGGATCATCGAGCCACGATTTTGAAAAAGCTCAATAATTTGAAATCATACATGAATTAAAAAAAAGGCAAATCTCAAATAATGTAGAGTATTGTAAAATTCTTGAGAGAAGTGAGCTAGGAGCAATATTGATCGAGAGCACTTTAAACGTGATATTCCTTACCTTGAGAACCATACAACAATGCCATTTGATAATTCGATAATGGAATGTCTGTTTTTATGCATTCATGATTATTGTATACTATATAGCTTTACATTATGCTATGAATGCTTTGGGAACTATGCGTGTACAAGGCCTAGGGGCTTTATTTATGTAGTTCCCCATTTCATTTCTAAATTTGTTCATGAATAATTTTGTATCTTTTGTATCAATGTAATTTTTAATCGAGAATGAAATAAATGCGAATTCAATTCAATTCAATTCAATTCAATAGCAGGCCTTCTCCTTTGGCGGCCTTATCAAAACAAAGGAGGACGAGAGAGCGACGGTAAAAATGGGGGGGGGGGGGAAGAGAGAGAGAGAGAGAGAAAAGGGACAAAAAATAAGAATCGCTACTCTGAATAACTGGTCAGCAATGTATTGGATAGGATGGAAACCAAATCTCAAAACTAACCTTTTCTGTGTTTCATGTAGAATAGTGTGTGTTTCTATTACTCAAGACAGCTTAAAGACTATGCATCGCTAAAACTCGAGAGCGCCCTTGGGCTCCACCCCGGGACCCCCAACAGGGGCTCTGCCCCTTGGCCCCACCCAGAAGGACTCGCTTTTACTCGCTCGCAATGCACATGTGCTTCGCTCACACGTTGGCATGCCCCCCCCCCCCCTTATTAAACAATGGATCCGCCGCTGAGAAATTTATGGTTTTACCAATTACCTCTAAATTAGGTGTAATTTTTTGCAGTTTAAAGTTCCTAATCTGGTGCTGTGCGACAAGTCTTATGGCTTTGATCTCCTTGCTGACAATTCCCCTTAGATCAGAAATAGACATAACTGAAGCCTTTTTTTCTTCACTATACAACTGTCATTACTGTGAATTTAGGGAGTAGATGGTCTGAGCCTGAAACAAACTTGAGAAATGTTTGAGTCGTGTCCGGCTTTCCAGCAACTGCACATTTGTCTAATTAAGTTGTAGTATACGATTGACCGTAAGAAATTTTTGGCGAATGGCATCCCATGTTTCGGACCTTTTAGCTTTCATGGAAATCATATCTGGAACGTCAAGGAAACAGTTTGAGAACCCCTGCTATATAGTATAATATTGTATACGACGGATAATCATAACCACTTAACCATATTCCATAAAGCATTTAGATCAAGATTTCTTACTCACCTCAAGATTGACCGAGTAGTTCCACTCGAAATAGGTTTGAAAGAGAATGACAGCTTGCCAAGTCATGACACTAATACCAGTCAAAAAGACAAGTGACCAAGCGAGTTTAGTGACTGGTCCTGAGGAGCGTTGAATGTTAGGTACGCCATGCGCTGAAGAGTTCTCCATGCGACTGTTAAGAATCGTTCGCAAACTCTTTTCTTCCCGCTCCGGGGCCGTCCCCCAGGAGCCCTCCTGACCATCCACCTTCGGGGCTTTCATGTTGCCCAGAGTGTTTCAGAAGAACTTGATAGATTTTGGTTAGTACTCCTACGATAGTTCAGCCGTAAGAATTGATGATACCATGCAAAGCAATGGCAATGTTCTGTATCTTACTAAAGCCCGACTCTGGGCTTATAAGCTTAGTTGAATAACAGGTTTAACAAAGGAAGGAATTCTGAGGTCATAAAAGTGATTATATAATCGGTTTGGGTTCGACTAATGTAAAAAAAGCTTTGTGTTATTAGTTACACCGGTTCTAGTCGATAGCTACGGTGATGAAGGCGCTGCCGCTGAAGCATTCAAGGAATTATTTCCTACCATTTGCTTAATCTGGGTCGAGTGCAACAAATTTTTCGTTAAAGTTCGCGAGTGCCCTGGCAGGGAATCGTACCTCGTATCCTGTGATCCACAGTCCGTTGGCTCATCCACTAGGCTACATCACCTACATCACCTGCGATGAGTGATCCAACAATGCTTTTACTTCAAATGTAATTTTAACATTATCGATGAAAACTAGCGAGAGTGGACCTGCAGAATGATAACAAATATGTACACAGAATTCCTTAGTCGAGACGACAAGAAAGTATCATAAGACACAGCTAACATGAAACTGTTAAATAAGAAGACGGTCTTAATCACCCACCACTTCACTGTTCTTTAGCTCAGGACTAAGCGGGCTGTTATTATTTACCCCTGGTCACTGAATTTCAAGCCCACATTGTTTCAAAAATACGAATACATGTGAGTGAAAGTACGATATCAGAATCAGATATGAAATACATCACCTAGTACATAAATTAGTGAACGGTGAACATGGCAACATAACGATAAAAACATAATGATGATCATCTTAATTAAATCGCTAATTATCTTACCGTGCTTATTTCACCCGCCACCATTTGTACGGTGAAGAAAATGATGTTTGTGGAATGGATGGGAATCGCAATGTTCAAAATCACTCCACGGTAGATTACAACAAGCTAAACGAAGATTTAAAAAGAGATATTTTGATTGATGTAGATTTTCGAATGGTTCTTGATAAACTCCACACCGATGATTAATATGTCAATGGCTACGTGTACGTTATATATACGGATAAATATCAATAACGGTGGTAATAAGATTACGTAATAATGATGTTCACAATGGAAGATTGATGAGCCCAATCGATCGGTGTTAATGAATTCAGAATGAACTATACTTTAGTTTCAAGTCGAAATATATGTTTACCATATCAAACATCCATACGATCATCAGTGAAGATGTGGGTCGGTGAACTTATTTAGCATGGTGTCGGCATGGACCTACTACGTCCATGGTGTCAGTCCCCAGAGGTAAATGGTCAGATCTGATTTCATTTCATTTCATTTATTTCATTCTCCATAAAAACATTAAAACATACAAACATGGTATACAGATAAAAGGTTGATTACAAGAAAAATACAAAGGGAAGGAGCAAACAAAATTTAATGGGATTGTGGGGTTAACAAATAGGCAATTAGCTTTATGAACGTCAACCCCTTCAAAAGTATACACTGTATTGTTGAGGAAAGAAAAGCAGAGAAAACCTTAACACCAATACAAAAGGGGAAAAAAAAGGAGAAGGGAAGGGGAGGGGGAATACATTACAAAGTGCATTAACTGAAACGTGACGTGATTGATACGGGTCTGTAAAAATCTTCTCTGTCATTTTCTACTTTACTGTTTCATTAGAAGGGGAGAGTTTGGCCTCTTGCCATTTGATGGCATGAGGGGGAGAAGGGAAGGGGTGGGGGAGGAGTGAGGGGTGAGGGGAAGTGGTGGGGGAGGGGTGAGGGGAAGGGGTGAGGGGAAGGGGAAGACATGCCAGTGGCGTAGTGGTATCCCATGAGTCCAGTCATTGAGGGCTGGTATCACGAGGGGAGGGGGGGGGGGGAGGACACTATTCTCACTCGGATAAGGATATATTAATTTACAAGACTCTCAATGGGGGCTGCGGGGTGAGTCCTGTATAGTCTTCTTATCTCGTCCCTTTCTCATCCTTTTCTCGTCCTTCTTCTCTCTATCCTTTTCTCTGTCCATCTCTCTCTCTCTCTCTCTCTCTCTCTCTCTCTCTATCTCTCTATCTATTTTTCTCTTTATCTCTCTCTCTCTTTCCCTTTTTATTATACACTTCCGTCTTTTCTCATGTTCTTCGTGATTAGATGGGAGGGGGGTGTACTGCCCTATGTGCCCCCTGAATCTACATGTACTCCACTAGCCATCGGATCGAGACTATATGAAAAAGGAAAGCTTAATTCTGAATTAGACTTGCATTAACCTGCATTATGTTTGGAACTGTAATAATCTTGTAAGTCTAAAAAGTACAACCCGTAAACCAGATGACTTATTAATGTTCATTTGAAAGAAGAAACGGCCACAATCGCGGCTTAGGATTACACATGATGCAGTCTCCTTTCATAAAGTGATTTAAGTGACTGTATTGAGCCGCTTAAGGCGCGGTCCCACTGGCCGATGGACACAAAACGTATGCATAAAGGACACAGCGGACGAGCAAAATTTCGGGGGTGGCTCCATCCGTTTTCATCCGCCCCAGAATTGGACAAAATTTGCGAAAATTAGTGAAAACAGAACGGAAAATAACAGACGTGGGTAGTATGTAGCGGGGATGTTAAACGGATGTTCATCGGAAGCCTAGCGGATGAAAGCGGATGGAAGTGGATTGACAGCTCCGAAGGGGTTACCGGGGATGATTGCGAAGCTGACGCATAGCGGAAAGAGCGGATGCATAGCGGATGAAGCGGAAGCATCACGTACGCCCAATGGTCGAAGCAGAAGATCACAGCACTTTTCCACAACCCTCAAGGCCCAGCTGTTTAATCATCCATGGTGGAGAACAATTGATGATGTTGAAGACCAAGACCAAGGGTGATGAGGTCTGTACACAACGGCTGCTCGACTCATACTGAGATCCAGATGATTTTCTCCCCCTTTTCATACAAAATATCGGTTGTCCGCTAGGTGTCCTTCTACATACTCTAGACATACTCCAGACATCCTAAATATACGACATACATTCCAGATACAAACGCTTTGTCCGTTTTGAATACTTTATATACGAGATACATACGCTTACATCCTTTCTATTTCCGTGCTACTAACGATGTATAGACGTTCCATGTACCTTATCTTTCCTCCCTCTTTCCGTTTTCAGCTGCAGCGGATGTGAGTTGCGAGGATGCCCAGAGGATGCAGAGCAGAGAGGATACAGCGGACGTTTAACGGATGATAACGGACATAGAACGTTTGTTGCTCGTATTTGTCGCGGATTTACATCGTACGCGGCGGAAAGTTCATCCGTTCTAAAAGTTTTGGGCAGCTCAAAACTTTTTGCGCGGATGAAATCACAGTGGACGGATGCTCGATGGATAGAGCGCATGAAACACGTATGCAATGAGTACACAGCGGATGCATAGCGTTTTCCAACGGATGGCAAGATTTTGTTTACATTTTACATCCTCTTTGCATCCGTAAGTGCAGTGGGACCGGGCCAATAGAAAGTGTGGAGCACAACGATAAAGGGACCTTTCGTTCGTGGTTCTTTGCGTTTCTAAATACCTACATAATAATTTTGTATATAAAACTAACGTTCTGTGAAACTATATTTCACGTTCCCTTTTTTCTTTCTCAAAAGATTCCACATGAACTTTAACTTCTTTTTTTTCCTTTCTTGAATCACTTGATGGTCGTACGCCTACAATTATACAATTTTACACAACTGCGCCAGGAATGTCAATTTTGACAGACATGGCGCATTATAAATGTTCACTATTATTATTATCAGTTTTGGCCATCAATCCCACATTGTGGACATTGGATGTGATAAGAACGGTTAATTAACATCACGTTGATCGGATTTTATAATCCTTGTTTTCACGAAGTGACGGTAGTGAGGAAAATCGTAACGCAAAGTGAATGCAATTTTTTTTCACTACCGTCACTTCGTGAAAACAGCGACGGATTTAGGCGAGAGAGAAAGAGAGAGAGAGAGGGAGAGATATACAGAGACAAAGATAGACAATTAGAACGTGGGGGGGGGTACCATCGACCTTGTGCCTTGGATGTGATAAGAACGGTTAATTAACATCATCGAATTTTATAATGATGTAGGCTATTGTTTCGTTATGCTAATTCACAAATTCCCCTTCCAAGACCACACACAAATTCATCAAAGCTTTTTAATACCTTGCCTAACGATATCAGAATTATAAATGATGTTAAATCTTACAGTATTGAGATCTGTAAAATTGATAATATTGGCTCACTTCTTTCATCTCGTGGATACTAAAAGTTTTTATGTTCTTTTTAATTATTTTTTGTCAATATGAGTCTATTTTGTACTTAAATGTCTGTAAATATGTTGATGTATTATAACTTACATATTTGTTTGTAAATTGTATTTTCATGGTTTTATATTCCATTGTTCGAATTTTATGTAACCACGGCTTTGCTGAAAAACAGCATTTGCTAAATGCGGGCACAATAATTATTGTATTTGTTTTTAACCGTGAATGAATAAGATATACCATACCATACCGTCACACACAATGTGCATCGACTTTAGGCCATAAACTTAGGATTGTTATTGTTATCAATACCTTAATTTATTTCATGATCATAATATTACCATCATCATTATTAAATCATAGCTATAGCGATTAGTGAGCACATAATATGATTGAGAATGTTATGTCATTAAGAAATAGATATCAAAGAATCTTGATAATACCTATAGATAATTATTACAACCTGTTTTTCATTAATGCGAAATATCGGGCCTCTTGGCTATATACACATGATTCAGTAAGCACGACATATTAACAGACATGGAACATGAATAATGACGTAGAGCTTTGTTACTATTTATTTCGAATACAACTCTTACTCATGAAAGTCAGAAAGATAGACGTATACAAATTTAGCACCTTTTCTAAAATGCCTATAATAAGTATTACCTTTAAGTTTTGCTTCCGTACAGGTGCTGGAGATACTAGGGACTTTTAGATTTGCACGTCGACAGCTTTGACTGCAACGTGTGACCTCATTTTAAGGCACTGCGCATGCGTTACGTTGTCTCAGTCGGCGATCGAGAATTCGTCAACCTTGATTTTCCTAAATCTAGTACATACATACATACATATTGGTATTTAGCGCCTTTACATGCTCAAGGTACAAGTATGCCGCTTGCGCATAAATTATACAGTTCCTCAGGTAGACAAATTAGGAACATCCCTTCCCTGCTATTTTGTAAAAATGTGTAGAACAGGTGTCAAATGCATATTCACCTGTTCTACACATTTTTACATAATAGCAGTGAAGGGATGTTCTTTGTTGAGGGTAGAATGAGGAACCGTATATTTTGTTCTCTTTCTTTGTCCGTGATGTACACTGTCTGGCCGGTTGGTTGAAGATCTAACAAACTGCTACCGTAGTGCCGTAGACGAGTACAGCCAGCGACGTACACAGGTGGGAGGACTGCAGATATGTTCACTACATTCAGCAGTTGCTTCCCCTACTGACAACACGCCTTGCCAGCGCGTCAGTATATGGCAAAAAACCCTCATGACAATTATGGAAAGACAACTTAAAGGAGGCCGTAAAGCCCATGGCCGTAACGGGCGCAACACTCAGAGTTGCAAATTGACCAGTAAACGTATTGAAGAGGATTCTTTTGATGAAGTTTTGCAGTCAAAGCCAAATGGAAGCTATAAGATGGAGGGATGCAATAAAACTGGTCAAAAATCTGAACTAAATATTTGTACATACAATGTTAGAACCTTGAGAACCTTTTGAATTCCTGAATTCAAAAAGGATGGTGAGACCATTGATGATGAAGCTGTTGCAGAAGGTTTCAATGATTACTTTGTTCATGTAGCACCAAGAATGCTCAGTGAAGTAAACAATGTAGCCCAGCCTACTTGTTCCCCGACTGCTCATATTGTGAACAACTCGCATTCTTTTTTCTGTAAACCTATACATGAAAGTGAAATTATAAATATTGTAGACAAAATGA